CACCATATATCTGTCCCCCTTTACCCTTGTCTACCTCCCTCCTCTCTCCTTTCCAACTGGTAACCACTAAACTATTGTTCATGTCTATGAGTTTTTGTTTTCGGTTTTATATCCTATATATGAGTGAAATTGTATGGTATGTGCCTTTCTCTGTCTGACTTATTTCATTTAGCATAATACCCTCTAGGTCCACCCATGTTGTTGCAAATGATAAGATTTCATTTTTTTTATTACTAAATACTATATATATATACACATGTATACATGTATATGTATATATATGTATATGTATACATATACCTATATAGCACATCTTTATTCATCTCTCAATAAATGAATTGATTTTTTTGTTGTTAAAATCTTAGGTGAATTGCTGATGTATAACATAAATAAAAGTTGACTTACTTTTGTCAGAGAGGAGTGGGCAGTACAACAAAGCATGAGTCAAGCCCCATGAACCACCTCTTAGCTCAATCTTCACTTCACCTGCCTAGAGGGGCCCTGTGGAAATCATAGGGCTTTAGGGAACACATTATAAAACTCAAAAAATTTAATAAGCATATAATTTCCTCTGGCTCCAACATTCTACAATTCTTCTACTGACTTGGAGTTGTTGCATGAGAATAATATGAGAGGTCTTAAGGATGTAACATTATGCAATAGGCATGGGGGGTGGGTTGGGGTGGAGAACCACACAACCATTTTATAATTCTGAATGTACTACATATAGATTATTTTATTTTTCTCTACAGACATTTTACTATAAATTAGTGTCAGATGTGTTTGAACAGGAACATTTCTCTCAGCCACTTTCTATAACAAACTGTTGAGTTTTCTACTTGTAACTGTATAATCACAAAATTTTATAAATTGAGTTAATTTACTGAATAAGTCTGTTATTTTGATACCATAGTTGCTTTTGAAGTTCACTGAAATTATTTGATAACTAAAGCCTAAGAAATGGGGCTTTTTGACTTACCAATGGCGAACTATTTTGCCAGTATTTAATGAATAATCTACTTATTTAGCTGATAGGAGAATAAAAATCTGTTAATATCACTGTAGACAAGAAATAAGAGTATTTAAGTTTATTCAGAGTGATGTCAAAACTTTGAGAAGAGTTTCAAAACAATTGATATCCTATTACTCTAACTTTCCTTTCTACTTCATTCCCCTCCATGTGTTAAATATTAATGAAGATGAATGAATAATGCATTCAATTAGTTATGAACAAAAGCAATTGATCCTATGTGTGGTTGGCCTCCTAAACCAGGACTCTTAAAACACATTCCTGTTTTTCTGAGTTGGAGTGCATCATCTGTTTGCACTGACTGTGTTTTCTGTTAAAGAGAGAGGGGAGTGAGCTTCTGAGGCAGATCTAATTCTTGAATCCTCTGGTAATGAGGGCATGTGGCGAACTCCTGGCACTGCTGACTACATTAGCCTTCCAGTTATCAACCAAACTGGCATGTCCTCCTGGCAAGGAAGGAAGAAAGCCCTCAAAGCAGAAACATTTGTTCAGCAACCCTTAATTGATCATTTTTGTACTTGCTACAGAGTGGAAGTTGCAGTGACAGATTTCAAGGGACCTGGGCAATTCAATCAGAGAGAGTGAAGAGGGAGGCTTAATGAAGGAGAAATGGCTATTTGTGTAAAGTCCAGATAGTCTACTTTATCTAGGAATGAAGTATGCAGTGGGAAACCTGTCTTCAAGATGTTCAATAGCGAACTCTTAGATCTGTAGGCTGATAATTGATAAATTAATGATAGCACAGAGTATAAATGTATGGAAACTTGAAAATCAAAGAGAGTATATTATACAAATTAGAAATAAATACTATTAAATATAATAGATAATAGTAATATGAGGTTTTGACTAAATGAAAAGTATCATTTAAAAATATAATCTTGGCAAATGTTTACATGCATGTTTGAGTATGCAGCTTGTACTGGTACTAATTTAATGCCACATTGCTACCTCATTTATAGAGTATGTGTGTAAGAAATAATATAATTACTAAGTTGTGGATTTTGAGGCAGTGTGATCCAGGATTTGGAAACTAGGAATGGCATTAAGAAGAATGAGACATTATGCCGAAATATCATTGAAATGCATGGATCCTATATCATGTGCGGCTTTAATTAACATAGAGTAAATCTAAGGTACCCTTTAAAAAGGAAAACAAGTTGTAAACTGAAAAGATTTGGTGAAGCACAGTCATATGTTCTCAAGAACTGACCAATCCTGATTCTCTACTTACAGTCTCATGTGATTGTCAATTTGGAATGTTCTATTCGACTCATGTACAATCTAATAGCTCTTCATCTCACCTGTAGGTACTATCTGCAATATGTAAGTCATTACTTAGTAGAATGCTTTGATGCACTACTCTGAGAATGAAAAAAATATTTGGGAAAATAAACTGTGTTCCATCTTTCAGTTCATACAGCATAACTATAGTCTGTATTTTTATTATTGTTTTTCAGCCCCTCTGACTGATAAGCCACCCAAGCTTTTGTATCCTATGGAAAGTAAACTGACAATTCAGGAGACCCAGCTGGGTAAGTAATCTCTTAATTCTAGTCAATATGCTTTTTGCAATAGGATCTGACAGTTAATAAGCCTAGATTGTAACCTGATGTAACACTCTGAGCTAAGCCCGTGTGTATTTATGGGGAGCCAGATTAGAAAGTACCACAAACTTGTCCCATTCCATTCCCCATGGGAAATGCATTAAAGCTAAGCTGGACATAGGGATGCAAAAACTCATGTGTCATTTAGAAAATTGCTGAGAAATGAGATGGGCTGAAGGATTTTTTGGTGGTATTATATTGTAATTTAAAAAGTCTTGAATTGTTTTTTAAAACAGGCAATATGGAACTATTTGACTTATAATATCCATTCATATGCTCAAATACAATTTTTAAAATTAGGGGAAAGCATACAGATTCATAAAGATAAGTGTTAGCATTACAGTTAAAATCATTTTTATCTAATCAAATCTAATGGACATTATGCAAGTGAAGTACAGATAATATATCAATAAAATGTGAGCAAGTAGCTTTTGGTTAAAAGACTAACAGGTTTGGGACATAAGAACATGGACAGAATATAATTTAGGACAAATCAGAATTCTAACATTCTTATAGAGTTAAGTCAGAATTTCTGAGTGTAGCATCTATACTCAGTTATACCAAATTATGAAAAATTTCCCATTAATTATAAGTATAGCAATTTAATTATATTCTTTTTACTTTTATTTGAAATACAATATGCATGTATATATCATAAACTTTAGCAGAAAAATGTTTTTAGTGTTATGTTTAGTATTATCAAAAAGTATAAATCTAACCATATATTCTTGTTTATTAAGGAGTTTTCTCTTACATTGCCTACTTGAGAGTAGAAATGCATTCACCATATACGATTAAAAAAGAATTGGTAGCCTGTCCCTTAAGTTACCCGTGTTATTATTGTTCTTGGAATGAGAATTCAGAATAAAATTGTAAATCATCTTCAAATGAAGATAACAGATATAATAATCTTCACTAATAACATATCCAAACTTATAGTGCAGAAAGATATGATGATGGTTTTAGAACCTGTAAAATGATTGTAGTCAATAGACTTCTAACATTGCAAATATTTATATTTATTAACTTTGAGGAAAGAATGTATGTGGGGTTTATACAAGTCAGGGTATCAATGTGCTTCTTTGATGGTAAACCCAAGACTTTGAATTAATGGCGTATATATATGTAAGAAGTATCATCCTAATTGTTATTTTGCGAAAGAAGACTATAGCAGCATTAAAGCAATATTGAATATGAATCAAATAGATACATTAAAATTGTATTATACTTTTCACTCATGCTATGGTATATCAAGCTATATTAGATTTGATTACAACTCTCTAAATGTATTTTGAAATATAAATTCTTGTAAGTGGCCATGCTCACACATACCTTTCAATAATTCCTAGAAAGATGTATTTCTAAGGAGTTATACAAAACTGTAAAATGTTGGACCAAGGAGTGGTTTATTGGTGCCAGTTATCAATAATGAACATAGTGAAATGAAATTAATGGTATCCCTTTACTTGACAATATAATTAAAAGAATTTTCTGATTAATGGCTGCCCATTGGGTTTCCTTATATTGTCCCTGAAATTAGAATAAATCAGATTGTTCTTAACCACCTGCTAAAATGTTTCACAAAATGAAATAGTCTGTAAAGCTTTCCTTTTAAAAATTTACTTTTTCTTGCACAAAAATTGTAAAGACTAATCTAGTTTATTTCGAATATGAAAAGTTCTTATGCAAATTGTAAGGTTTGACTGTATATTCATTTAAAGAAAGATGGGCATGTATGTTATCAAAATGCTCCAGGAAATATTCTCTTTTATTGTCACTGCCAAAAGGAATGTGAGCTCTCTTTAAACACCAAGTAAACTAGAGACATCAACCTGGGATTTGGATTCTTTTAAACAACTTTTGTTTTATTTTTTGTTTCCAGTTCTCAGTATATATGACAAATCATTTAACCTCAATCCTTTAATTTTTGAGTAACAGTTGATTTGAAATAACTACCTTGCTAGTGTTGTTACTGCAATAGTATTGGAGTAAGTGAACAGCTGATCACAAAGGATAAGTGAAAATAGGAAATAATATTGAAGACCAAAAAGAAAAAAGACACTAGATGCCTAAAATATATTTGTTTTCACCAATATGTACTTTTATCTTTTACTTCTTTGGAAATTTAATTTTTGCTCTTTCCACATTTGAAAAAGATTTCAATTTCAACAGGCTCAAAATGTGATATTATATCCTAAGAAAAGGGGACTGAGTGAAGAATCATGGGGTGAGAGTAAGGAAGGTGGCCAGGACCAGTGACAGGGAACCTGTAAGTGATGCCTTGTCTTATGAGAAGGTGAGATTCTCCAACAGAATTTTATTGGCCAAGAGTTCAAGGGTCTGACTCAACCTATCCTAAATTGAGGGTTGACCTCAGAAGATAATAAAACTACTATATGAATAACATTATAAAACAATTATCAGAAATTACACAAAGCCGAATTGGTACATGTCTGATGATCTAACTTGAACATCCTGGCTAAGTTACACACATATCCACCTGACTTTCATAACTATAAATCCATCCATCCTCCAGTTTTGTCTCTAAATATGTAAAACTCCTTAATAATGGCTTAGATAAAATCATAAAGTGCATTGATTTGTCTTCACCACCAAATTCTCCTTTCTCTGCCATTTACTGGCCATACCTACCTTTCACTTTCTACATCCCTAGTGTCCTCCTTTTCTTCCAATTCCTTCATATTCTCAAAACTGAAAAGATTCTGATAGTGATCATTTAAATTGTTCCAGTGTAGAAAGTGAAGGCACAGAAAAACAAAGTACTTAGGGTAAAATAAAATAGTAACTAAATTCAAATAAAATATATGAATTGGTAGGTTTGAATTTCAGTTAATATGTGGTCACAAAATAGCATTTCCATTTTAAACAATATCTGTGTATTACTTCTAAATGTGAAAAAAAGAAATTTGTTCTTTTAAAATAACTTTCAGGCATCAGCGAATAAATGGACAGCACTTTCTTTGGCAAAAGGCCCAGAAATCACACTATACAATTCTAAAGTTTTATCTAGGAGATGAGCCTGACTTAGTCCTTTCAGGAAGCTGTAGTTAAAGGAATCACAAGACAGACACCATTGTCCTTCTGAGTTTGAGCCCCGAGACGATCACTCAGAAACGTGGCCTTCTTGTTATGGCCAGGAGCCCATTTTCAGAACCTTTGAGAACAGAGGATGTTATATTCATCATTATTAGACTTTTAAAGAGTAGAAATCTACCCCACCCTTGACCTAGTGAGACACCTATTATTTTACAACTTAGAATTTACTATACATTATCATTACTCATCTAGATTTGGATGTCACTTTATTGAGCTTTTGGTTTGTGCTTTAAAAAATAATTATACAGATTAATGGTAGAAATTTGGGGGAAGTAGAGAAAAGAATCTAGTTTCTTACACTTTACATTGTAAAAACATTCTGCTCCTATTAAATATTCTCAGAAAACACCCTTTTAATGACTACATGATATCTATGTGAATGTCCTATATAATTTCATATATATTGCTGGAAATTTTAATTTTTCCAAACTCCATCATCATAAATAATGACACAATGATCTTTACCTATACATTTCCTCCTGATTTTATGATTATTTTAACATGGCAGATTCCTAAAAGGAAAAATACTTGGTAAAAAGAAATAATTTTGTTTCTTGCTACATATTTTCAGAATCCTTATAGAGAAGTTGTAGAACTCTCTATACTCAGAAATATGTAATGAGTATAATCACTTTTAATCTCTGATAAAATAAAAATAATATATTTTTGTAACATAGAGCTCTTGAAGGAAAATTCACTTTCCTTCAATATCAGGATCACTTCTTTTCCCCCTACCTTCTTACCTATTTCTTTCTCTCTTTACTCATTGAGTACAAGTGGCCTCTCTTTTTTAGGGTTATCCACATTTGGAGAGTTTCAAATAAATCTAGTCCATTTAGGTAAATGTCTATGGTTTATGAAATATAGAAACCTAATTGAATGTCTAGTGTCTATTTTTTCTCTTGCTTATTTTAATGCTCAACTGAGAACTTCCTCTGGATTCTGTTTCTTAATAAAGTACACATTAATTTTGTGATGTACTCTGGGCACGGGGAATGTTGATAAATACTAATTGATAAGGTATACGTGCAACAAAGATCGCACGTCTCCAAATTTTCTGCAAGAGAAAATAATGAAATTGAAGAAGCTTCCCAGCAGTGCTCTTATTTTTCTTTAACATTTACTTTTGTTTGTTAAGTTTATTAAAAAGCAAACACTTATTTACCAGAGCAAGTAACAAGGATTCACCAGATGTTAACGTGTAAAGGAAAGTGGTTGATGACGTTATCGAAACCTCAAATTTTTAAACATCTGTACTGGTAAAGGAACACACATACATGTAATTTCATCCAATTTAACTAATTAAAATAATTTAGCTACTTAAAATAAAATGTTACTCTAGGACTTAACTAGCACATCTTCCCCCATCACACCATATTATCATTTGCAGAATTTTAAATTTCAAGTAGACTAAGGGGAAAATATTCATGTATTATATAATAGATCTTGATTGATATTTTTGTAGGAAAACCCTTTGTCATGCAAATTATATGTTTAACTTGCTGTGTTGCTAAAATAATTACCTATCGAAACACTCCAATGTGTTATATGTTCTGGAACCATGTATATAAATTTATTGTTCATGCAATGTGTTTTATGACAAATATGCTAGTTGAGTTTTTAATCCAAGGAGACCTTATAGGGAATTATTTTATGGAGTAAAAAATCGTGCTCTAACATTTGCTATCTAGGTCTATATTTTCATAGCTGTTATTTTCTTGAAACAAAACATACCTTTTCTATATGGTGACTACCCTATCTTACTAAAATTGAGTAGCCTCTGTTTCCTTTTTTGGGTAGGGAATTACTTA